TCAAAATGTAAGAGCGAATTGTGAAATTTCTGACATTTTCTGCATGTATTAGAACTTTTACAGTCCTTGATTGTGTGGACCGAAGATAAACAATTGAAACATAGTTTTTTTTGTCTTTACAAATTCCAATCGTTTCTTGACTGTTAGATTTAAGAATTGCGCACATTTCAACAATAAATGATCAGCTTTACAATAAGGACAATTTTTTGAATTTTCCGAAAGTGATGTAAGAGCTTTGGTATTAAATGAACGTTTCGATTCCCCATGCGGAGGTTTGTAATGTGATAGGGTGCGAGCGTGTTCCTTCAAAAAACATGTCAGTTGTTTAACCGTTCCTATCTCGTCTTTTTTAAGTGACCTTTCCCACCAACACCGAGTATTTCTATCCAACTTTTCAACTAATAAATAAACAATTAACGTGTCTGAAAATTCTTCCACCTTTTGCTCCAATGCTTCCAAGGATCGTAAACATTCATGCACCTTATCGATAAATTTTAAAAGCGACGAAGTAGAATCACTCGTTTGAGGTATAGAAATTAATTTCTTTATGATAGAATTGATCAAATCTTTTTTGTTGCAATAGCGATCAACCAACAGATTCCATGCTATGTCATAATTCGAATCTGAAATTGGAATGGACTGAATAATATTTAAAGCGTCTGCCTTACACGAACTCTTTAAATATTGCAATTTTTGCGCATTAGTTAATTTGCTATTTTTATGCACAGCTGCGGAAAATAAATCCTCAAATTCAATCCATTCTTCGATTTTCCCACTAAATATTGGAAGAGACAATTTAGGCAATTTTATATCCGAAACAATTATGTCTTTACTCGAACCGTTTTCATTTGAGCAGCTATTCCTTTGAGAACGGATCTCAGAAATTTTTCTTTTAATTTTCAAATGAATTTCATCGAGATTATCTACTACATTTTCCTTTTCCTTAATGAATTCGTCAGTGTCCTTTTCTTCACAATGTGCAAATAAAGAATCGAAAATGTTACTTAATTCCTTTTTAAATTCTAATATTTTTGATTCGTATAACTCCAATAAGGAAATATCTGCTTCATCCACTGTAGAATTTACCTTATTTTCAAACTTTCTGATACTGCATTTTAAACTTTTTTGTTAGCTTTAATTTTAATCGCTTTCAATTCACTCATCATGAACAAATAAATAATTTATCACTTACCGTGATTGCAGATTTCTCGACAGCAACACCGGAAATGAACGATGACACAGTATCCAATCTTAATTGCGTAATCCACACGAAAACGAAAGCATTCCAAACACTCTATATGAAGTTATGCGTAATACAACCAAACGAAAGTATTCCAAATGTTCTAAAAAGTTAATTTTAGCAACGATATCTTTTACCTGGGGCTCGGCGGGCCATAAAGTGTTCATGCGATGCGTGCGTTGTTATACAACAATTTCAAATTAACTAGAAGTGGACTGTACTAAATATTTTATTCGACAACTTTAATCAAATGCGTGCCATCTTTCAAGCGATGACTTACTACTAACAACAACAGCAATAAAAAATAAAACTGAGTAAGCGTTTACAGGGTTGCTGTAATGAACATCTGCGCCATGCAAGGCGCCAAGAAGAGAAAAAATGACGTAATCTTACAGTTAAATAATCTTAATGACTTAACACGGGTTCTTTGGAGTGACGAATCAAGGTTCACCCTTTACCGTTCGGATGGCAGGGTCTGGGTCTGGCGTCTACCTGGAGCTCCTGCCAGGATGCATTGTGCCAACAGTCAAATTCGGCGAAGGTGGAATTAGGGTCTGGGTGTGTTTTTTCTGGTATGAGCTGGGACCCTTGGTCCCCATTCGTTGTAAGCTCAACTCCGATGCCTGCTGCACTATTTTGGATGACAATGTGCTTCCTACGTTGTGGCAGTTTTACGGGTTGGACCCCTGTTACTTTCAGGACGACAATGCTAGTTGTCATGTTTCGACGTTAACCAAGGCTTGGTATGGTGCCAATGGAGTTCATCGAATGGGCTGGCCTGCCCAGAGTCCAGACGCGAACCCTATCGAGAGCCTCTGGGACGAGTTTCATCGCCGAATTCAGGGGTGCACTACCCGTGCAAAATCGGTGAAGGACCTTCTATGTCTTCTCCAAGCCGAGTGGAAGAAAATACCACTAGCTGTCATACAAAGACTTGTGGAAAGTATGCCCCGGAGGGTCCACGCTGTAATTACCTCTCGTGGAGGTCCTACCAACTATTGATTTTGAATAAAGTTAATTTTTTTCTTTTCTATCACAGGTGTCGAAATACTTATTGGTAGTCAGTGTACAAGTTCAATTATTCATTGTCATCTTGAGGAAATGCGACGAAAACAGAATTGCCTACATTTACCCAGATCTGTACCTCCTCTTTATTAACACAATCCTTCTCCGAACATGGAAGTAATTCTAAGATGGTTGTGGGAAAGGAGTCTTGCTTATTATTTACGAACGATCAGCATTATTTCCTAGGCCTAAATTTTGAATTTACATTTTGATCTTCAAACGTGGCGTTATTTTGATATAACCTGTTAGCTAGGTTGCCGGTTATATAAGAAATTTTTACTATATTAAATTTTCTCGTTTCTTAAGAAAGGTAAAGAAAACTATTTGACATTTTAATTTAAATACATTTAATTAACTACTGATCATTTCGATAAGCCTATTTATTGGAAGTTCATGATAGTTATATTACACTCTTAATAGTTAAATCTTTTTCATTTTCCTATTTTTCTTAGTTTTCATCGCAGTAATTCGTTCATCTGAGGATTTTATACTTTAATAAGTATTCGTTGCTTTGGAGATAATTTCTCCAATACTCAATGCAGGAATTGAGAACCTGTCAGATTTTACTTGATCTAGAATTGGTAGTTCCAAAAATTTTAACAGACTTAAAACAAATTTTTGCTATGTCTTACAAAGTAGTAAGAAGATCTCAAATGAACTTTTTATTTAAATAGAGTGTAGAAAATAAACCTCACTCTTTTACTAACAATATCAGCCACAGCTTATAGTGATGCAATTAAAAGAGAAGCTAAATTCAAGTTAAACGTGTAACAGACTACGCAATTAAATATTAATATAAGTTGGCTCAAGAATTCTACCAGAGCGTCAGAATCGAAATTTTGACAGTGATGTAACGCATTTCCGAAAAATATAACTATCCGAGCAGGCAGCAACTATCAGGTAGGGTGTAGTCGCAACCAGAAACACACTCTGACTCAAACTTCAAAAACCTCAGTTTAAATACTGACTGTCTCATTTGCATTCTGGTAAAGAAAACGGAAAGAAGCTATAGTAAAGTCTGAAATCATAAAAACTGGTTGATTTAAATAATAAACTTTTAAATCTTTTCCAATAAGTTGATATTAGAGGTTTATATTTTTTTGCTTGTTTGTTTGCTTGTTTTAGAATTCGACTAAATGGTTAAAGCTACGAATGCTTGACTGTTTCAGACAGCTTGATGTCTAGCCACTTTTTCACGTTTCTAAGTTGAGCTAACCACTTTTTCACGTTTCTAAGTTATATGTATTTGTAACTCTCACATAAATTGTTTTTCCGATAAACCTTTATTTATTTGTGCTTACAAGCAGATAACAGCAAGAAATTTTTTCTTAACAAACTCTAGGATTTGGCAACAACTTTCGAAATAAAGCAGATTTTCATCTCCAGCTTGCAAGACTGTTGCAACTTGGAAAAATGAGAGCTAAAATTATCGCTCTTCCGAGTTTTTAATTAATATCTCTGATTTTAGCTTTTTTTTTTTTTTTTTTTTTTTTTTTTTTTTAGTTCAAAGAAGCTTTGTCCCTGAAGGACTATTGTTTTAGTTTTGCGATTTTGCTTTAAATCACTATAAACGGCGAAACACTTTTCAAACTGTTGCCACCAAATGTTAGAGTTCTGCAATGTTTGCATGTTTGAAGAAAGTAAATAATGAAAAATCTGCATAAATGTATGCATATTTCTCGCACTGTGATAAAACAACGAAACATAGAACCATCGAATTTTGAATGACATAATCTTCCTAAGAATATGGGCATGTGGAAGACCAAATTTGAAATTTGGAATTTGTTTTATTACCGATTTGATATTTTGTAAAACTTTAACGAATTTATGATTAACAAGCTCAAGGATTTCAAAGCGTGCAATGGCAGCGTTGTACAGAAAAAATATTTTTATCTCCAGCGCGTGAGTCTCTGTATCGGAAATTCTAAAGATATGCTCATTTTAAAACTAGTACTTTGCGATATTGTAGTTGAACTGAATTTTATGGTTTAAGTGCGAAGAACGTGATATTTAATAAATAAATCTAACATACAAAATGTAAAAAAAAAAAAATGCCTCTTTGAACGTAATTTAAAATTTGAAAGCTTTCAATTTTTTTTTAAATATTTATTTTTGTTCTTAAAGAATAGTTAATTTTTACAACTACACAATCCTATACTTGAAAAGTACTCCATGCGAATTCGTAATCCTAGTAACACATATGAAGTGTTTTTTTTTTTTTTTTTTTTTTGTGTAAAGAGAAGTGCGCATGAATAGATCGAAATGATATTGAAGAAAATGCTAATTCGATAATTACATAAGTAAGTAAATTTTTAAAAATATTAAACTAGGCTTAAGTCAAACTTGAAAAGAATTGAATTGATAAAATAAGGCCTATTTGTGCATTGTGCACATACTCTTGAAAATGTGTACGCATTGATTCAATAAACGAATGTATAATATTGAAAATAATTTATGAACATAAAAAATTAAACTAAGAAAGGAAACCTTAAATTTTTCTAACTCCAGTTCTTTTTCCAAAACATCAATTTCGAGGGATTTACTTTCCTCAAAATCGACAGAATTTTTTTAAAGATCTAATCAAATTTTGTTACTTTTCTAAGTTGACATTTTAGATTGCGATATTTCTCTTATAAGTAGATTATAAAGTATCGATCCATAATCTAACATTTTCATCTACGTTTCAGATATTGTCGAAAGGTCGAATTGTACAGTAGGGATCAGACGTTTTATTCGAAAGATAGTATACCTGAAAGCGATATTGGATGTATGGGAAAGCTGTTTAGTGACGACATAGATGGAAATTCCTTACCGAATATTGGACAGTTTAATATCAGTTTCACGCCAGGAGGAATTATGTTCCCTATAGCTCGGTTGCTTGTGTTCTATGTTCGAAACGATGGAGAAATAGTGGCTGATTTAGGAATATTTCGCATAAAGAAATGTTCGAAAACTAAAGTAAGAAATTTTAGTATTTTTAATCAATTTTTAATGTGTTATTCTTGATAATAAAACCCTATAGCAGGGACTCGCAACCTTTATCTTTCATCGATTGCCTTTCAAAGGAATTGTTTTCTTCATTGACTCCATTACAATTTTCTCTATAGTAAAGAGAATACAACACAATCATAATGCAAATAATTCCACAGATATAACTTAAAGATAAGAATTAAATTAAGAATATGAACAAAGGTTTTGGAAAAAGAAACGGTTTATTAGATTTCTTTTTAATTATTTTTTGTTTCATTACTAATTTTAATTTTAAAGATAAAAGAAAAATTCATAAATAAAATGCCACATTCTAATTGCACAATTTTGGATTATAATTAAAATGATGGCTGTGCTTAATGTATTGATGCAAATTTTGTAATATTTGGCATAAAATTACTTAAGCTAATTTTTAAATTACCTCGTCAAACATATTCAATCTGTTTCTTGTTTTCCATAGTAATTTTGCATTCTTTTGTGTGCGTGTGTTGTATACAGTTATGTGCGCGCTGGCCTTTTTGCTTTTTTATGTTATATTTATTGCATAAAAATTTATATATCTTAAAGAAATATTCACACTGATTTTTAAAATATATATATTTCCACTCATATTTATTTAACATTTCTTTTTTGCTACACATTATACTTTTATATTAATCATGATACACTTTTATATCAATAAGTAACTAATTGTCAGTTTTATTAATACCCATTTTTTTGTAATCAATGGTATCTTCATCATGCCGAGCAACTGCCAGTGGATACTCGGCTGTCGACTCCCAGTCGACCTCTTAATCATCATTGATCCCTTGTAAAGTTTCAGTACCGACCCCACTGGGAACCCCTTTCTTAGATCATTTCAGATATCTATAAAATTCAATTGCCTTTTTGAACATTTCTTGATATAATTTTAGATTTTTGGTGTTTCAGGTGAAATTTAGCATTCCTCAGAAACAGCAATATCCGAGCACCGAAGCGAAAATTATGTTATCCGCTAATCCTTCATCCATCTGTGGCATCGATTTCGTAGATAAGAGTGTTCAACTACTTCACGACGATACGGAGTTTAGCGAAGAAAATGTTAGAATCCTAAGTTTATTTCAAGATTTTTAAATGTCCCTACCATTGAAAATAACAGTTTCAACTTTATGTAATACAAATGATTCGTTATAAATTTGTTCTTTTCCCTAGTTATTCAAATGGACGGAAAACTTGTATCGTGATCACGAATTTGAAATAAAGGCCTTCCGTTGTTATTTTCCAACGAGGAAAGGTATTCTTGTATTTTATAAGACTTTAAAGTTACATTGCAGTTCTTCTATGATGAGAAACGATTTATGCAAAATATATCTGTATGATGTTGTTTATTATTACTATCAGAATCGGTAGTTTTGAAATTAGGATTCGAGATAAGTAAAAAATATGCAATTTAATTTCGATACGCAAAACTAAAAGAATAATAATGCTTCATTTAATTGTTTAATTCAGTTTCATATCTGTAAATTATATTCAAATAAAGCAGCAGATATAAAGAGTTAGTAGATTTTTTCCACGATTTAATATTTTATCAAATAATACGTTCTTTTGTGATTTGATATAATTTTTTACTATATGGCAAACTTTTTTTATGTACAGGCTACCTACCACACCCTGCAGCACAATACTATAACTATATGACTTCAGGTGTTGCTTTCGAAGTAAGTAAAATTCATTCCTTTTGTTCGGCTGATGCATTTTTGCCACTGTTACCAACTTCTATCTGATGATTATATACTTAAGTATGTATAATGTATTTAAAGTCTCTTAATTTTAATCCTTTAATTTTAGTCTTTTAATTTTTAAAAACGAAACTCATGTTCTCCTAAAATTTGCAGTCCCTTCTTAAATAAGTGCTTTAAAAGAGAACTGAATTAATAATATAAATTTATTATTTTCTTTAATCTACAAGACTTTTGGGAAAACTGAGGTACTATGTTGTCACAAACCTTAATTTAACCGATTTCAGATCAATATATTAAATATCGTTGCCTGCTTACGGATTCGTAATAGATTGAATGCGCAGGTCCGATAATATGTTAATAAAATTTATTTTTATCTAAAAGAAATATTTCATAACTCTGAAATTTTCCACAGAAATATTCGTACGAGTGTTCACAGTAAAGCACAATATAATAAGTAGGTACATTTCAAATTACTAAGAACGTTAAACACATCGCAATGCAAAGCGCATCTAAAGAAAAAGTTTACTCGGATTTATCTCAGTTCACGCGGAACTACAACTCGCAACAATAATAACTATACAGAGAGTAGATGCTCTACCTTCGGCCTTAAATATACTTCAACCGGTCGCCGAGATATTTCTACGACTACGAGATATTTCTAGTACTTTCTTCTTCTCAAAAATACTGGAAAGAAATACGAGAGTGGGATTATGGTTACAGCTAACATAGTGGTCAATTACATTTATTCAGTTTCAATACATACTACGGCCAAAATGTCGCCAAATTTGGAGACTTTTGGCGATTTCTCTCCAAATTTGGGGACAAAATAAGTCGCTAAAACCGTTGTCAGCTTGGCGATATCTCGCCAAATTACCGAGATATCCAATGCATTTGTCCCTGTATTTATACTGTTTCGGCATAGCTTTCTCTCAAAATTCGTTTCGCTACATTACACAGAGAAATACAATAATTTCACCTATAACTTCAATAAATCATCTATCTATGTACAAAATTCGTAAAAACATCCTAGCCAGTAGCTTCGCAGAGTTCTCTACGTCGACCCCTGGTGGGGAGGGGGTGGGAAGTAGAATATATACTGGTCTGGGTCTCCTATTTGGTTGCAGTTACACAGGTCTGTTTAACTTAGACCAAAACGTTTAAGCCAGATCATGAAAGGGCTATGGCCGTTATGAATTAGGTGATAGAAAATGTAGAACTGATGAGCGAAGTGGAGACTTTTCGGAGGGACTTAAAGGTTCGTCTCCCTGTGGAGTCAAAGTTCTAGCTATGTTTTCATTGCTTAAAGGTTCGTCTCCCTGTGGAGTCAAAGTTCTAGCTATGTTTTCATTGCTTGAGCAGGTCCTGCCAAACATCAGAAAACTAACAGATGAAACAAATGTCTTATGTGGAGTTGATCATCTCGCGATAAAAGCTCTAACTTCTTAAGAGACTCGGAATTACCTTTCGCACACTTTTGCAGACTCTGGCTTTTAAGCAGTACTCCACCACTCTGCTCTTTTTTGATCTGATGTAACCCGCGATGCCACAACTAAAACTTACAAGCTTTATTGTACTAGTCGCGGTTACCGCTACTGGAATGGAATATGCAATTTGGCCAATATTTGACACTCAACATAATTAAGACAAAACGGAGATATCCACTTTTCTCTTTTCTTTTTAAGATTTGATTAATACAAAATCTGACTAGCTCTATTTCAAGATTTTACGGTCAGCTTCCGTTTTGTTACGTAGCTCGCTTTCAACATATACTTAGATTTTTCTGTCTGGAATTAGGTGATTGAGTCATACTTGGCTACGTGAAGAACCCTTTAGATTCTCGGCAAACATCTAGTGCAAAAAACTTCGTCTAACCTGAAGAATGAAATGCAAAAAGAAAAAAAAAGAGAGAAAATAAAGTCTACGACAAATGGCTAAAATTACCTAAGCGTATATAATATGAAAATTTTTAAGAATGCATTGAACCCACATTTTCTAGAACAGTTTTTCTGTCTTTTTCTTTTCCTTTCGGAGAAAAGAGATAAAACAGGACAGAAATTTCTGTTTCGATTATGACACTTTACTGAAGTTTATTTTATCCGGGTGATAAGCGATTATGCAGAAATCTGCATTTTCACATGTGAAACAGTCCACGAATTGGGATTTACTGCGTGGACAAAAATCAATGATATTTGAATTTTAAGCTTATCCAAATGACAAAATACTACTTCAGATTTTTAAAATAGTGTTAGGATTCATGGATGTTTTAAATATGTAATTAAAAATCTCATCTTTCTATTTTTCTCATGATTTCGCAACGACTTGGCTCCAAAAGATAGCATAAATATTTCAGCCTTTGCTTTCTCAGCTTGCATTTAGATTTTTTTCACTGATGGCTTTTTTACTTATTTGATAGATCATGTCATAGCCACAGATTATTTTACAATAGCAGAACAGCAATAATTATCGGCTGGCGATATCTGGCAGAAAAGCCAATGTGTCCGGGAATTCAGCCCGGAAAAACGGGAATCACCCAACTGGTAATACACTAGAGTCGCTAAGACCAGTAATACACTTCGAGCAGATGCTTACACTGTCAACCCGCAACCTGATAGCAGGGCTGGGCTAATCATTAAGTAGAATAAGTACATGTTTAGGGTATCAAGGAAAGGGGGCACCACAAAATGGTGCTCAGTGTTTCAAAGAAAAGGCCACCAGCCATGCCGGTTTTACATTGGAATGTGCTGTGTAACTAAACTAAAACCAGAAAGAGAAGGAATGGAGAAAAAAAGACGATATGCTCTTAATTTACGTGCGGGCACCAAACTAAACTCTTAGAGCTACTAGAAACTTTTAATCCGGCCCTGCTTATCAGCGAATATACGTTAAAAGATTGAGACCTGAACTACGCCCACTAACCCAAAGCATATTCTCTCTCTATTTAGAGAGAATACAAAAAGTGCATTTTTGGTACGCATTTTAAGGGAAGTGCTTTGCAGGCAGCAATTTCAATCGCCATAAAAGATATCTATATTTTGACGTTTGCGCTTGAAGTTTAACTCGAAAATAAGAATCATAATGTTAGTCATAAAAGACCCACGGAAGAACCTCTTACCAAGAGAGGAAAACTAAATATTGATCTTCGCTGACAACGTTACCTGTAGGAATGCAAACGTCAACATTAACAAATTAAACCTTAATCTTCTTTAACAACAAATGATTCTAACTACCGAGTACAGATGGCACCACCACATGAACAAAGTTTGTGAGTAAGATAGGCACCTTTTGATTCGAGTGGTTCAAACTAGATTCTTCAAATCTGGTATAAGATCTTAGAATATGAATATGAATAGAATTGATTCTGAATTCAACACCAAAATTAATAAAACTAAACAACTGAACTTAAATTATGATAATCTTACAATAAATATTTTAATTAATAAAAGCTGATAAGAAAACTCTTGGATTTGATTAAGAAATTTTTTTAAAGTTTGACATTTGGTCTAAAGAACTCACTTTTAAAATTTAGCCGTCATAATTTAAATGCTTTAAATTTTGAGCTTAACAACAAAAATAGTTAGGAACCCCCTAAAACCGTTTAAATTATTTCACATTTAATTTAAAATTTACAAAACAGTAAATGAATGTAAAGTTAGATTTTATTTCAGGACAAATCAAAAGCTGCGTCGAAAAGTCCAAGAACTTGATTACTGGATTGGCACTCTTATTATAACTAAAGGAAGAACATTTTCATATAAAACATAGACAATTTACTTTCATTTCGCTTATGATGTGTCACTGTGAGATTACTAATTTCGAAAATGACACTGCTTAAAATTTAAAAAATAATGTTGTTTTGCATAAATACCATTGTATTTTACGTATATATATATATATATATATATATTATATATTTGTTTGTCTCTTTTCTATATATTTTTGTATTGTGTTTATTGTTAGCCCAAAAGGGCTATTAGTCTCGAAACACGATTTTGCTTTTTTCACCTTGCATTCGAGTCCGTTGCCATTCGGAAAAATATAAGATATTAATTTTTCATATTTAATCTGTCTGTTGTTAATTAACAACTTAATTAACTATTTTAAAAGCAATAGATAACGTTCTTATTATTTTTTTACTTTTTAATCTGATTGATTTAATAAAAATACATAATTCATGATATATATGTAAGGAAAATATAGAATATGTAAAAGATTAAATTAGCAGAGAAAATTAATTCCCTTCTATATTCTAAAAATAGTAACCTCTATTTGCACTGCGTCATTTCGAGAAAAATCTATGTCATATGACTCTTACATAATTCTGATGATGTAAATGAAACTAAAACTCAAACAACCAATAGTAATTTTACAGCAATATTAACCATTCAATCAAAATGCATTGAAAAACCAAAACTAACTCAGTCTGAATTAGAATCTCACTCTGAACATAACACACTTGCTTTCAACACTTTGGTCTAGCTGCACTGCTGTTTGTCTGTCTGCTGCTGCTGCTTTCTTACTACAAATTTATTAAAAATGTAAACTTTTTCAAGTAGGCACCATAAATGGGCTAACTTGTTTGTGGACAGAACTTTTTACTGAAATAAAAGTTAAATTAAATATACATTGACTGCCAAATTTCTTATTCCTTGTGGATCGGCATTTCAGCATTCTACGGCATCAAAAATCTAGCGGTTCATTGTAGATACAACCACCTGCTTTCTACCACAGAATCTTGTTAGGAGAGTCAACAGTGGTCAAGAAACTGGCTTGGGTTTTTGCATATTTTCCATACCAGCCCCGATCCTCCGACCATAGTTTAGCACAGAAGTGCTACCACACACAAACACATATTTTTCACATAATTTTAGAGAACTATCGCCATTTTGCGTCAGAGATAGACCGCTTTCTTCTTCAAGACCAAATGCTGCTGCTTTTCTCATCTGCTCCCTTTGTTCGAATAATATGACGTAGTAAAGAATAATGATTTGCCATTAGAATTAGTAAAGATGTGGAATCAAAACAGCTAATTTATTCTGTGTCATCATTTCATGCCAAGCTTCAGTCATGTGCCCGACTGCCAAAATATCACAGCTTATTAACTTCTATTACATATATATATAATTTGAAACATTAATATTTTTATAGAATTATATTACATATTTTTCACTTTCTAAATATAACGGAAGTTATAGAACATTCTCATGTTAGTCTAAGTGTATATTCACCTAATATCTTATAAAATGTTTCGCTATTCTATCTGTATCATCTCTATCGAAAACTGTTAAGCCATACTAAACTTTAAAAGGTGACTTTCTAGTCACCTTTTAGGCTTGGTGACTTTCTGGAATCTTTCCGAAAACATGTTTTCGCAGCTTTTCTAGAAGCTTGTAATATTACCCTTCCTCTTCCTTGAGCAAAGAGTCTCTGAATAGCTCAGCAGTTCAGTTGAGATTTCAAACCTTAACCTGTTTATGTAGATTTTTGTACTTCTGATTAGCGTCTGATCTGCGAGCGATTTTTTATCCTTGACATTTCTCGTGTGTTAAGAAGAAATTCGGTTTAACTTCTATATTTTCCTTAAATTATTTTTAGTCGTTTATCTTACCTGTAGAAACTTATTCACCTTAGGTTTTCTTCTTTATCTGGCTTGTTTATTTATAGGGATATCTAAGAAACTGTAGCATTCAAGAATATATACACTCAAGAGCTAAAACATTATAACCATTACCTGCTCAATAACTCATTGCACGACTTTTAGCCTGCAAAACAGCTGCAACTCACCTTGGCATGGATGCCCCAAGTTCTTGGTAGATGACTGGAGGTAAAGTTGTACCACGTGTCTAAGCAGCGGTCACGCAAAGTCGAGATATTCCGGCATGGTGGTGTTTGAAGTCTGAGCTCCCGCTCCATGACATCCCAAATGTGCTGTATTGGGTTCCGACCTGGCCATTTAGGTGGCCAAGACTTTAATTGGAATACATTCTTATGCTCCTCGAACCACTTCAACACAATTCGAGCCTTGTGACATGTTGTGTTGTCCTGCTGGAAGATTCCATTTCCAATTGGAGAAACAGACGTCATGTAAGATGCAACTGATCCGCAGTTATATTCATATAATCCGCAATTTCATGCTCTGTTCTACCATACTTAAACGTCCCAGAGCTGCCCATGAGAACGTCTCCCAAAGCATTAAACTGCCACCACCAGTCTATGTATGATTTGCTGTACAAGGGGAAGCAACCGTTCGAGTGGAAAACGGTGTACCCTGACACGACCATCTATGGGATGAATGAAAAATAGTGACTCATCCGACCAGGCGACTGTTTTCCACTTATCTATGGTTCAATCTCGATGTTCCCGGGCTCACTGTAGACGTAGTTGACAATGACGCTTAGTCAACAGCGGCACACGAAATAGAATGTCTATTGTGCAAATCCTATATCCAACAGTGTCCAATGAACTGTGTGTTCAAAAACACTTGCACTTGGAAACTGCATTGTATTGGCCTGTCAGCTGTATTAGACGCCCGTTTTGCTGTACCAAGCGAGACATTTTCCAAAGTTCTTTGATGTCGCATAGACGTTCAACCCCTCGGTGTCAACTTCTGATTTCACTCTCATTTATCCTCTTTGTATAAATACTAACAACGACAGATAGTGAACAACCTACTAGTCGTGCAATTTCGGAGGTACTCGTTACGAGTCTTTGGGCCATTTCAATCTGCTTTCTATCAAATTCGCTTAGATCAGCAGCCTTTCCCGTCACTCGCAAAATTAAGTGTAAGAACGATTCCTTATCTTCTCCAACAGCAGTTAATTACCATTCCGACTTAATCATGTGCCCTCCACATCATCCAGATGAGCTCATTGAAAAATATGAGGACGGTCACAATGTTTTAACTCGTCAATGCATAGCTAACTTTCTAAATTTAACCTCAGCATTATATCAACAGCGCATTTTATGACCATTATTAGGCAATACGTTTATAGGTTCGTGAATGTACCAGAATTTGAAGCTTTCTGTCTGCTTCTTTAATCAAAGGTTTTGCTTAAGACACAGTTAATATTAGCTAATCGCTTTATCGAAATTACATTACTTATAATTTAATAAAACTAAATTACGAGGTGGAAAATTCAAAAGTAGAAATCATCCATAAACTTAAAATCCATAAACTGAAATTTTTGTCTGAGTACAGTCGAGGCAATTGTTTCGCTGTTATAAACACGTATTGCCGTTAAAGTTCACAGACTATTTAATCAAACTGAATAATACATCATTTCACATTTTTCATAATGTTAATCACATAAAAGTATCTTCAGACACAGTAATAATGAATTTTTGGAGATGAAATGTCATCTTGAGAATCTTATCTTGATATCTTATCTTGAAAAAAATAAATGCGAAAATAATTCTATTAAATTTAAGTTTATTAATTTTATTAAATTCCACCATGAGCTTTTAAAATGAATTTTCAAAAAGCTATATACTTTCTTTATGTTTTAGAAATTCTTAGTCATGTAGGTTTTACAAATATATTCAGTTTTTAATTAAAAGGGACTTTGTAGATTTTTATCCTTATTGTAAAGTTGAGTTTTCGTTGTATTTTCCTTTTTTGGGTTGGTGATTTTATAGCTTCAATAGCGAAAGACTGCAAAACGTCCTTTTGCATAAAAAAGAACCTACTTGAAATAAATGCACGTGAAAACATCACATATTCAGAATTCAGTTTTGAAAGAAAATCCAATATCCAAAAATGCACACATCGAAACTAACAGAAGGAAATTTTGTGGAATAAATAACAAATATAATAAATAGGTTATTTTTAAAAGTAAAATTTCATATTATTTACAAGAAATAGCTACAGACTGTTGCGAAAATCTCACGTACTGTGATTTATAACTTTTTATATACTATAAATGCAGCTTTCAAAATTATCATAGTTGCATTAATATACCCTACGCTAGTTCAGATTAGTTTTTAGTAAAATCGAAACAGAGAAACTGATCTGTCTGGCATTTAGATATTTATGTGACGGTCCGAATTCATATCCGTCGATACATGCCTCAGATTAATTTATGCTTATGTTAAGAGAGTGGTCTCAAAATGAAACTGCTTGTAATCCGAATCGATTACATATTTTGTAACACTTTAACGAATTTTTGATTAACAAACTCAACGATTTCCAAGCGAGCTATGGCAGCACTGTACGGAAAAATAATTATCTCCAGCGCGCGAGACTGTGTTTCGGAAATTCTAAAAATATGCTCATTTTAAAATTATTTTGCGATATTGCTGTTGAATTGAATTTTATGGTTTAAGTGCGAAGAACATGATATTTAATAATTAAAGGTTTATAGTTAAATATAAGTTTTCAGACGGACACTTATTTAAAAAATGAAGTTTTGAATTAATCACTAAATAACTTACTTAAAATAAACAAATTACGAAAACTTTCAAGTGGGACAAAACTTTAGCATAAATAATGATAAGTATTTTCTTTCTTTTTTTTCTATTAAATTTTAATTTGACGCATACAGAAAAATACATATATTTGTAATTAATTGTAAACTTTTTACATTTCTCGCTACAGCTTTTAGTTACAACATCTTATGGAGTTTCTATTTCGATAAAATCTATAACCTTGGAGAAAAATCAGCAGAATCTTTATCTTTATAGCTCATCAATCAGCCTGTTCCTTTTTTCTAGACTTACTGATTTCAACTGCGTTAAAAACTGTTTACATATATTCCTGTATTCCCAAGTAAAGTGATTATTCTTTTTAGAAAAATTCGGAACTGAAAGTATTTGTATTTTGACAAGTGCGAATGAATGTTAATCAAATCTGTACCTTCAAATCTTCGAATATCCCATATAAATTAAATTAATTAGCTCCCTTGGTAGATTTCTAGTGCGTCACTCATGTTGTTTTTTTAATCTTAAGAAAAAAATGAAAAACTGGATTTAAAATCCTAAAAATATTAAATCTTTCTTCAAATTATTCTTGTAATGAAGTCATTATAGCACTAATTAACTTAAAGGGAATGTATTCGCTGCCGCTTAAAAGTGATAGAGTCTCGTATTTGGTAACATACACTCACGAGCTCTAGAAAGACTGTAAAGGAATTATCCTCGTGACATTAAGGTTAGACAAAGTCAGAAGATGGGCGTGAATAGCCTTTTTGTTTTATCACAAAGAATTTAACATTTGACCCCACTTGCGTTTACAAAGCCAATACTTCTCCCTTAACTTACCCAAATAATGTGGAACTTAAAATAAAATGTAATTTAGACTAGTCTAACGGCTCACAGGATAAAGTAAACGCGCATGAAGGCTCTGGCTCGTAGTAGCCGGCGAGACAAGCCTAATGGCTAAAAGCACTTAACGCCACATAATTAAATAGCTATTAAGTCACGGTAACAACGTGCCCTCAAACAGGCAGAACACGCTCTAAAATCGAATTGCAAAACCTTCGCTTAAATAGCACTTCTTTTCCCTTAATCTGAATAAACATGCGCTATTTAATTTACATCCTGGCATGAAGAGCATGGGCGAAAATGAGAGCGACAGGAAAGTTGCTTTAACTCAATTATTGGAGAAAATAAATAAATAAAACCTCACAAAGTTTTTCGGAGATTGCATGTGTCTCGTAAAAAGCCAGTCTGAGACAAAATTAAAAAAAAAAAAAAAAAAAAAAAAATTAAATTTACTAATTAATATATTGCGTCTTCAATTATCATGTGTCGTCAATCATAAAGGCTCGGAATCTCTTATTCAGACATGTAGCCTTCGAATGCAAAATTTTATGAAGAGATGAGAGTATTAAGTTTGCTTTCTTTCACAGGGGGCTCATACGGTGGTGTTTACCGACTTAGCTCTTAAACGTCTAGAATGTATAAAGGGCGAAGAACGTACTTTTTGGCTCTCTGAAGGACAATATACTCATGCGTATGATGAGACGGATACTTGGATACTTGGAAACAGCTTCCGAGATCCTTTCGTGCTACCCCACAGTGGTAATTATTTATCCATCATAGAGATATTAAAAGATATTCAAATAGATTTGTTTACAAAATGCAAATCATAAAACATAAATTTAGATGAAGTTAATAAAAAATTAATCAAACTTATAAATATAGATGTGGCTTTCGTTATTTTGTTCCATTTTTCAGAGGTAAATGTATAACAGGACAAAAATCACTAGTATTTTACGTAATTAATTAGCTCGCATGGGTATTCCATTATGTAAATTAATCTATTCATTTATTAGTTAATTTATGTCCACAGACATACTAATTAATATAATTTAATAAAGAGGAAATAGTGTTTCTTATTATTTAGTGTAGAAATATGTCAAAAAGAAGGAAGTCATTGATTGCTGAATTTAGAATGATGCGTTATTGATTACTGCAAATTCAAGTTTTAAATATTCCACTAAATTTATTCGGTCCGGTAAGAAGATTCGGGAAAACATTTGAGACGCCTAAACTTTTCTAACAATGGATCAGTATATATTATTTTTTAATCTACCAACATAGATGCTTAAATGGGAGTTATATTTCATGTTGCATATAAGATATATATTTTTACCTTATTAGATATGAAATAAATCTCAAAACATTAATCAATATTTGTTATTATTTTCCTCAAACAGCCTCTTGTTCAGTATAAGTGTCTCAGTAACTACATAATTATCTATATATGCATTCTTCAAGTTGTAAAGTCATTATTTTCTTCATGCTTCATCATGATTTTTTTCATGACACTTCGTATCGTGAAAAATAAGTAATGCTCAAATAAAATTCACACATTTGTTTGTAAATAATTATAAACTTTATATGCAAATACAAGATTTATTTGTATAATGTCCGTATACTGGAGAGATATTACGAGCTAGAAATTGCCTTCATCATGGATTGTTAGATGCTCATCGATCAATTGCGTTCTATAGATGCTCGTCGATCAATTGGGCTCTTTTCTTATCAATTTCTATTTGTGAAGAAAAGCTGTTCTCATATAAATATGTATTCCCATACAAAACGATTATTATGAGTGAAAACTTTCGTAACTGAGAGTACTTTTTTTTTCAAAAGTACAAATAAAAAATCAAATATGTATCTTCAAATCCTTGAATAACTTTGGAAGTTAATCAGCTCAGTTTATAGATTTTCTGGTGGTTATAAAGAATAATGTAAATTCGGATTTCAAATAATTATCCTATTATTATCCTTGAAATCCTAGCAAAGCCGAACAATTACACTGATGAAATGCATTCGCGAGCCGCACAAAATTGCTTTCGGGGGTCCTAAGACGCCAGTTTGAGACCACTGCTTTAAACTTCAGTGATAGATGTAATGCTAACTGAAGAGGTGGCTAACATTGCATATGCTTATTTATTCATGAGTTGCCTTGAATACATGGCTTTAAACTTGTATTTTTATTTATAACATTTATTTATGCGCTCATTTACACGTGTGAAACGCTTATTTTACGAATGGAATAACTTTTTATACTATGAAGAGCATTATTTTTAGGCTGTAGATATTCTATTCAATTTACTGCAGTTGAAGATAAGTCATAACTTGTGCTACTGCATTAAAGATTACTTTCATACCTGTACAATTACTAATACTTGAATATTTCATGCTTGAACAACACGTAGTATACATCTTCCTGGTTTTGTTATTTAGGTCAATTTTAATATTTCGTACTGTTAGTTATTCATTTGTAAAAACTATTTAGATCAAAATTTACAGTCATGACACGAAAGGACTTAAGTGTTGATTCATTCAATTCTATGATAGGTTAATGCCATAATAAATTTTTTAAGCCACTGAAAGTCGTTTTATGAATATCTCAGCTGAATCATTCTGTTACTTTTTAAATGAATATAATGAGATTGATTAATTGTTTTCGATGATGAAAGTATTAAAGCTCTAATGCACTCTTATTAAGTGCTTTTCAAGTGTCATGTTATAAATTGCTTTATATCCTATCTCAAGGAGAAGTTCATTGTCTTAATTAATTGAAAAAAATTATTATTTTAATAGCATTTGCATCTGAGAGGTTCAGTAAAATCAACGAAAATACAAATTAAATACCTAAATCCAAAACTTATGAGACAACTCCTAAATCTATGGAAGAAATTCGAAGTTATTTTCCAGAAACCTGGTTGTGGGAAATGCATACAATTGAGTAAGTTTTCTTTTTCTTTTTTATAGTTACCAGGCTTGCAATCAGCGTAAACATTTACGCATCATGTATTTTGTTGTCAAATGTTACACTATTCATTTGACAATCTAGTAAATCAAAACCACTATTACAATAGGTAAACTTTTGTTTTACGTCATGAAGGCATTTGTAAATAATATTTTCTCTTTTCATTGATTATGCCATCTATCTGTTGCTTCAAAATCAAACTTTCCCATTTCACTTTTGCGTCTAATTTTGAACCTTTCCACTATATCAATAAACAGCTAACTTGTAACATTTGTTTTATAAACATTGTAAAATAAACTCTTAACATTTTCTCAATATTGCGAACTTTCTGCAATAGTTTCGTTTCAAATTTTCATTTCGATTTAGCTTCAATTTGAAACAGTGTCTTCACAATTCTTCCAAACCTTGCACAATCGGGCCTGAGAAACTTTCAATTGAAGACTACATTGCACTGAATCATTTTAAGAACTGATCATGAATGTCATTCGAACAAATCAACTTTATCTCTTAGACACAAATAATTTGTTCTTAACTTATCTCTAAGACTTCCAAAATTCCAAAAGTGTTCCAAAAAATGTCAAGTGAATGCAAATGATAAAAATTACTAAAGAAGAACGAGTACTTCTTATAGGATACTTCAAAATGTAAAATTCAAAACGCATCGGAGATATGTTTGTTTTCTTTTTCACATAAAATTAAGATTATCTGAAATTTCAGCTTCATGAAACTGATTAATCCAGTCGATCACCGTAAAACTTGGAAAAGGGTTTCCTTTGCACATGGTCATTTTTAAATCAAATCTAAACAGTTTGGCGACTTTCTCCTGTTATTTGACAATTTCTAGATTTTATTTTGGCCTTATTTAACTAGTATATTATTTATTTGGCGCTTTCAGTTCATTTAAAAGAATCACTGCATATGATCGTAACTGATTACTTATTACAATATACAATAAGCGATGCATTTCCACATTTCCGTATACAAACGAGAGGGGTTTCGGGAATTTAATAACAGTATACCAATGATAGTGATAACCCCCAAAGTACGAAATCCGGCATTCTATAAAATGCCTAGACATTTTATGAAATGCCAAAAACTGGCTACATATGTATGAAACGACTAAACATTTCAAACACTGCCTAAGCATTTTATAGAATGCCAAATGACAAACCGACAGAGTATTAGATACCTTTCCGAGTACTTACGTATTATCGCAACTAGGTTGGCGCGATTTGTAAGTTTGAGTAAAAAAGTATGAATAGAAAGAAAATGTACATTTATTAATTACAGATAATTTTTAATACAGTTTTTTATATTATTTTGTTTTAAAATATAAAATAGCAATTAAACCCTTCCGGTTTCGAATTTGAATAAGTTGCAGAATTATTTTTTCGGCGGCGGAAATCTTTTGGCTATTGCTTTTAGCACTGATTGAAAATCGCTTCGCCATTGTAATTATTCCAATCTATAACAGTTTTGTCAGCAATTCCCATCTCTTCTGCACAAAATTTAATTTAGGTTAACTCTTTACACCAACAATAAATGAAGCGCACCGCTGTCACAAATGAAATTCGGCTACCTTCAAACCAATTTCCGGTTCTCACACCCAAACTGTTGATTGCACTCTTCGACGTTACATTTCGAGAAGATTTGCTTTCCAAAATACAGTTTCATTTTATGAGAATTTTTACAAAGTACGTTTCGTTCGGTATAATTCCATATCCCTGCAACAATTCAACAGCATCCTTTTTCACTCGCGGGCAGATCCTAAATACCCATAGTTAAAGTATTTCAGGAGCATTCAATCTAACCAGTAAGAAAAATAATTTCTTTACGAAAAACTACGTATAACACGTAGGGTTGCCGTAAGTAGGGTCGCCAAATTTGGTGATTTATGCGAATTTTGGCCTGGTTGCGTTAATACGTAAGTACCCATTTCCGTACTAGATACAATGCCTTGGGAAAGTATGTGCTATTTCGTGCAATATATTAACAGTTATAATGAGTATGATAAAGGACAGTTTTTACTGGCTTGAAACTTCTGACAGAATTTTAAAACAAATATACGAGATCATAGTTCATTTTATGTTGTAAGAACTTGCTTCGGACTGAAGATATTTTTGACCACGAAATTCCTGTCTGGTCAGTTGCAATTACTCAGGTCAATGGAAGTGACCAAGCATTCGTCAAAGTGTATGCGCCTAAGGTATTCTAGCCGGCGTTTCATACTTTACTCATAACAATACCATTAACAGCAATCACATTAAGCATGGCTATTGTATTCACAGATTCAAATTCAAGATTCATAGCAGAATGCGGTAGTATATCGTAGAATTAGCTGAAAGCCAAGAAAAAGGATCTTTCTAATGTTAGGAAAATCGATGACGTTAGACTAAACGTTTTATTGCTTTTAATATTATAATTAAATTAAAAGTTCTTTAATTATGTTAAAGTGCAATTACTGTTTTTGATTTTATCAATTTTGTGTTTGTTTTCTGGCAAAATAATGTATTAAATACTTTGCAATTTAAAAAACATTTCCAAGGACATCTTATATGAAAAGATTCTTTCTATATAACACATAAAATTTTGAATGTCTAATAATTTAAATAATTTGTTGAGTGGTAGTGATTTCTTTTTTTGTTTTGTTTTTGTGACGTTGCAACTTGTTTATAAATTCGTTTACCTGTTCCCTATTTACTTACTTTGGATATGTAATATGTCAAATTTCATATTGAAGCTCCTCTGCTTTGGCATTTTTGCGGCGAAGCCATCTACTAAATAGAAATGCATCCAG